GACATTAAAGTTAGTTTTTTAAATCAATGAACCTTCTCTTTAACAGACGATTTACGAGAAAGTTGCGCCTATATGCCTTTTCCAAAAACATCACTTAGTAGTTCACTCATCAACACACACTATAGTTTCCATGTTTACAAGCTCTTGCGTTGTAAACCTACATGGGCTACAAAATGAGTTAAATATGTAAAAGAATGTTTGGTTATTATATTAACCCACTTTTAGAGTATAAGTTTCGATACAAAGTGATTATAACATAATGTTCATTTTGCACCAGGAAACTACCCCCGCAGAATATAATTTTAACTGTTTGCCATTCGTTTTCGATTGAAAATTACCCAACTCGATCCTTCTTGGAAGCCGTAAAATTACGTATACATAATTTTATAGGGAGAAAAGCAAATTACACAGAGTGTACCATAAAAATTGTCCAGATTCTAAACAATGCAAATCCAGAAGATTTGATTGCTTTTTACGCATCCTCTAATTTGCTGAATATATTTGTCATTACATATTTTCGAAAAATTCTACATAAATATCTTCCGCTGACGGAGAAAAACATCTGAATTCTATTTCGGATATATTTCCTTTCAGGATTACTTCGGCAAATTGGCAGTTATCCCTTTACCCGTGTATTTCCATAAACGAGGATCATCGTCCAAAATACATGTAACTGTTTATCGCTGAAACAAACAAAAAAATTGTTATTTTATTATACATGCATACAGGCTGTACTAACGTACAGTGTACCTTCATAAATTCTTCGGGATTTCTTTATTTTTTTGTATATATTTCAAACAAGATTTCTAAACATAATAAATCTCTTTACCAACCAAAGTTCACACTGTCATTATATGTAGGCATAAACACATGAGGGCATTATTCTTGAGAAGTTCACACGCCTGTTCTTTCATAATTCTTCGTTATTGTCATTTTATAAATCAGCAGGTGTTGCCAAATCTTTCATGAAATACTAAAATGATTCAAATGAATATACAGGTGGAATATTATTTTAAGAAATTGTAATGTAAAATCGCAGTCTTTCGCAGGCGCGGATCCAGGATTTCTCAGGGGAGGGGGCCCATTTAAAAAAAAAATTTTTGCTCCCGAAAATTTGAAAATCGCGCCGGCCGAAAAGTCGCTCATGTGGGGGGGGGGGGGGGGGGTAGTGAGCACATTTTTTTTTTTGGCCCTCCAAAATTTGAAAATTTGCACCCCCACCCCCCCCCCTTGAGCGCCAGGGGGGTGCTAAAAGCTAATAAAAAAAATGACGTGTTTTTACATGGTTTTTTCCCAGGGGGAGCCCCCTCCCCTGAATCCGCCACTGGTCATACGATGAAGCACCCGTTTATTTTATTCCTTGTATTCCCAAATAGCAGCATTAAGTTTAAAGCAAGTAACTCTCAATGAACGTAATTTGTTGTGATGTTTGTTTGGTAATGATTGTTTTACCCGACAGCTAACAATATAACTGCATGTATACATGGGTTGAACCCCCCACCCCCTTTGGTATTTTTTATTTGAGTATTTTGGAAGAACCCCACCCCCTTGTTTTGTTTTGTTTTTTCAACGAAGAAAAATGTCAAATTTTCAAATTTCGAGACCAAAAAAAAAAAATGTGTCCTCTTACCCCCCCCCCCCCCCCCCCCCCCCCCGCTTATTCAGCGGCTGACTGAGTCGTTGCGAAATTTTCGGCCCGATTTCAAAATGTTAACCCCCCCCCCCCCCCCCCCTTGAAAAAATCCTGCCTACGCTAATGCATGTATATGCTTGTAAGTAAACAGCCAGGGGATCAACGACTTTTAGATCCTGACAGACAAACACAAACTTTATAGGCACTTGTACATTTCGTGTTATTATGTAAAATAAAGAGTCCTTACAAATATATTTGGTAAAGCAATTTGTAACATTTCATTGACAAAGTGACACTCTGCCATGATCGCGGACTTTAAAACAAAACTCAAGCCAAGATAATTTTAGTAGTCTTATCCTTTGACATGGACATATTACCTATTATATACTTCACTTTAGAAATCCAGCCATCTGATTGGCCGAAATTGTAGTCGTGATTTTAGCCATTCCCGTAAAGAAACGTAAAATGCCAAAAGACTATTGACCGGTTTTGGCATTTTACGTTTATGCGTGCAATCTCAGTGGGAAGGATTTTAGCACAGAAACTCGAGTGGTGCGCGATCAGACACCCTATTAAGACTAGGTCTCGATAGCGTAAACAAACTTGATTACCATGATTGGTAAGTCGCACATGTATTCTATGACCTTTTCGGTATATAACAGTTATCATGACTTCTTTAATACTCGAGGCATAGTTATTTTATAGGCTCTCGAGGAGGTTACATCGTGCTATCACCCTCGACACACCTCGGGGCGATAGCACGATTTAACATCCCCTTCTGCGTATAAAAACAACCATGTCTCTCATAGCAGTCATTATCACTATAAGATGACATATTACAGAATCCAAAGATGATTTCCATAGGCAATATAATAGCTGATTTATTGCAACTCTAGCGCTTAGAGACTTCGGTGGTAAGCGCTTTATAAGTAACGTTTTTATTATTATTATTATTAACTCTTTGCGATCGTATTCTCCAAACTATATTTCAACATTCACTTTGATTTTGGTAATAATGAACCATGCTCTCTGAGTTCATGCACGTCTCAGCCACTCTTGATTCAACCTCTCACAGCAGTACAATCATATAAACCAACAGGACAGATAACATGTTCATCTCAGAATAGATTTTCTGTTCATATCAGCTCTTCAAATAGGCTAAAATTTATTCCATGTTTCTTAGCCCTGATAACAGTTTAGTATGACTGGTAGAGGTACAATACTTGTTGAAAAAAATATGAGCCATTAAAACAAGGTAAAACTTATTATCAAGTTAAAATTAAGCTAAGATATGATAATTTCAATGTCATGAGAATGGACTGATTAATATTAGGAAAGTATTAAACAATGAAAATATCCAGTGTATTGTAAAAACAAAAAAGGTCTTTGCATCAATGGCTATAAATACATTCCATGAAATGTGAACTAGATTACTTTGGGTTCAATATTTAATAGGCAATTCATATAGGGACTAACAGATTGGCTATCTATTAATTTGTTCTGAAACTCTAAATCTAATGTAAAATGAAAAAACATTCATTTTTTAGTTCCTTCTATTCATCTTACTGAAGCGCTTGACTGATAGAAGATCTATGAAACTCTGCATTAATTGTAATATGACAAAAAGAGCATTCCATTTTTTAGTTCTTTCTATCTATCTAACTCGAGCAGATGACAGATAGATGATATATAAAACCCTGCATCAATTCTAATGTCGCACTGAGCGTTCATTTTCCAGTTCCTATTATCTTCCGTTGCAGGGGTTGAAAACCACATAAGTTGACATGCATCAAAAGTATTACAGAGTGGCCTCACATTAGGATATAGACAGTATGCCTCCGAGTCTCCTTTCAATTTCAATACATTTTCAAGGATAACGTGGATATTTTGGGACATTTTATTTTATTCCAACCCTTTTTCTAGAGACGGATCTTTGTTAAATGTGAATGTGAAGGACTGGTTAAATAGAACTCCTACTTCTAAAAGTCACTTAGAAAAGCATGATCAAAATCAAGAATGGAATATTAAGACTCTTCGTTAAGGTACACAATGAGATGTATACATCAATTATGTTACCTAGTGAAATGCAACTCTGGTGATCAAACTATCCAACAGACAAAACAAATAATATAATTCAAAAGCACATGCTACAGACCAAATTAAAATGTTTGGTTCAAAACAAATTGTTTGCTGACCAGATTCTAACTGGTGCTGACAAATGAAATTAGTCAATTCACAAAATCCATTACTATTTCATGTAAATGTGTAAGTTATCAAAATTGTAGTTGAGCAAAGGGCTAGAGACAAGTTTGGTAGTGTCTGCTGAATTGAAAGTCATTCAAAATGAAGAATTAAAAACATTGCAAATGTAAGAAGAGAAAGGAGGATATTAAAACAACAATAAGAACTAAAATCGTTAAAATATATATATATTGGATCTGAGACCCTTTTACTGTAGAGATACCATTGTCAAAATCAAGATTGTTTTTCAATATTTGATTTTTTTTTCTAACCCAAGATTTACAGAGAAATAAATAATCATCAGATGTCAAGAAACAGACTCCTTCATACTGGATATGGAAATGCTCTGGACACGCTACGGTAGCTGCGAGGAAAGGGTACTTTATGATATAAGTTATTAGAAAATCAAAGAGTTCAAGAAAATCAGAGTGCTAAAGGGCAAGTCCACCCTGAAAATAACTTAGTTTCAATAGAAGCAAAAAATCAGACAAACCAATCAAAAAGAGTTTGAGTAAAATCAGAAAGTTATGAATTTTTAATGACATTAAAAACTTTGAAAATCACAAGACAAATTGGCAACTCACTCTGTGAGTCTGTGACGTAATTACCTCACTATCCACTAATTGTTTTCTTTATATTGATACAATAAATTTCCCATTTTCCCCCTAAAAATCTTATTTGGTCACACCTGCATCCAAGTCATATTAATAGTAAAATGTTTTTGTGTGTGTGCATGCACTAATATAGAGTAATTTGTTTCAGTTAAATCATGAAAAATGTGAATTTTGATAAACTAGTTATATAAAAATCAATGATTATGAATATACAATATTCAGAAAATAGTATCAATTTTTCAAAGTTCATAACAGATTTTGTGAAATGTCATTCACAAAATATGATACAAATCATATAACCTGGGCAAAAGCATGGGGAAATCAGGTTTTGGGTTATAAAAGTGAAATTAATGGGATAAAAATATATATAGCGATGGATAACTAGTGAGGCAATGACGTCACAAACTGATAACCAAATTAGCAATTTGAGTAGTGATTTTTGAGGTCCCATGGTTTTTCATACTTTTTTTAAAATTCATAACTTTCTAATTATAGTTATCCGATTTTACTCATTTTTGTTTGGCTCTGTTTCTCTTGTTTTTCTGCATCTATTTAAAGCAAATTGTTTTCGGAGTGGACTAAGCCTTTAAGGAATCAATTATACCAGGAGAAATCACTACCAATATACCATCTGATTAGATTTGGATTAGAGTTATTTGCTCCTAATGATTCTCCTTAAAATTCATGAGACAAATAAGTCCTATAATCGGTATAATCACCAACACAATCCTTTTGCTTCTATGATCTTAAAAAAGTGAAATGAATATACAACATATAATTACCGAAGAAGTAGCAAAGTATTTGTAAATGTCGGACAGATTTGCAAACCCATTATGAACCATTTTCAAGCTCTACAATAAAAACAATAAAAATATCACTTATGGTAAAGTTTATCCATGATTTTCTCACCCACTGGAAGAGAAAAATAAAAGTTTTACAAATCAGTTCATGTGAAGAGCAATCATACACATTTATATTGCCAACCAAAAATATTGGATTATATCCCATAGTATTACATGTTCAAGGGCTGTTTATGACTTTAACTTTGAAAACAACATGGATAATATACACATATTGTGTCTGTTTGGAGCCAGAAAGGCGTTTTATGGTATAATGGTTTATGATTTAAAGCCATTCTGGCTCCAAACGGATTATTTGTTCATGAAATGAGTAATACATACTGGACTTCAAACGATTTTAATCCAAATCTGGCTTCATAAAATCCATAGATTTCTCATGGTTTATAAGATATGTGCTGTTTGTTAACATGATTATTTCTCGTTGGAAAAGCCTTGTAAATTAAGCAATTCAGTCCACAGTAGATATAAAGTACATATCAAATAATGTCAACATAACAGTGAACTGATAATGTGTCCTCATGCATACGCTACCAAGCGGTACAATGATACGACATATAACTTAGATACGGTTGTAGAGAATATAATACACTCTCATCACAAAATCTAGACATCTTAAAACTAGTATCCAATGAGGATCGTTACATATTGAATCAACAGAAGTGGAAATCAGTTTTATCTGAGTATTTGGATGTCCATTTATAATGTAATGTACTAGAACTGTTCTCATAAAACCATTATAACAGCAATAAAGAAATTTATGCACAAATTGCAATATTGTTCGAAGAAGAGAAAAACTTTTAGGCTTGCCAAACCACAACGATAATGTCCCTTGGGACTCATAAATCTCTATTAAACTCTGCATGATAAGTTACAAGTTTACATCCTTCTGGCATTGAGCAGAGGATGTGATATATCTTACAGTGCAAACTCAAATGAAGCTGATTAAATTTAGTATACAACAAGCAGTGCAAATATAATGCTCCCTTCACAGGATGGGAAGGAGGAGAGAATCTGACAGACTGATTTATTTTACAGATAGTGGTGTCAAAGTTCATCATCAGATTTGATTTGGAGGTCCGAGGTCATTCAGACTTGTTCCAAGCATACCAGGTAATACCAATAAAGAAATGGGATTTAAATTCCTGATCTTCATATCAATTGGATAAGTTTCTGATCTAAAAATGTTAACAGGTTTTACCAGGGAAAAAAATTACTTTAAAAATTTCGGGGGCTACTTTTCGAGCTTGCTTGCATGAAAATAACACTCTTTAATTTGTTCTGCATTGAACACTATGCAAATTTTCAGGGGCTCTTTTATGACTTTCAGGGGCTCTTTTTGGCATTTCGGGGGCTACTTCGCCCCGAGCCCAGTGAACTTTTTTTCACTGGTTTTTCCACTAGCAATCAATTGCAAGCACAAATGAAGCCGAATTGAAGATACATGTACAACATTCTCACATAATATGTAGTCTTGTGTATTTACAATACTCATTAAAATACTTACTTAAAATACAGGAGCATAATCAATACCCTCAATAAAAATTCATATCAGCTAAAAAGAACTGCTTTCTCCCTACTGTGATTTTTTCATTGTTCCTACATATTTCAACACATATAATAAAATAGTAGCACAATAGGCAAAGTATTTAAAAGATATTTCCCTCTTGACCATCAACAGATGATCAGAGATAAAAAAAAATAAGTTGGAAATATTTGTAATACTCCTCAATAAAAAAGGAAAGAAGATGTGGTTGTTTCCTACAAGTGTTTCTTGGTGAAAAGGGCCATGGGATCCTTTATAAATAAAACTTCTCCCAGATTTCTCCTTACAATACAATATGTGGCTTGTATTTGTTACTGTGCTTGGATTGCCACATGTGTGCTTGTAAAATGAAACCTGGCTGGAATACTCTCCATGGAGAAGAGCGTGTGCACTATCATGTGCAGATTAGCAATTGAATCCAATAACCGGAGTAATAATAATTACCATGCAAAGCACTGATATAAGTTGTATTAAGCGCTATACAAATATGACTATTATTATCATTCTTTACACGTTTCCAAAACTGAGGTACATGATTTGAAGCATTTATGAACTACCTGGATACCAAAAAATTATAAACTATTTGGTCTGTATTGTCAGATTAATCTGAATCAAAGGTTTAAAGCCCATGATTGCTATGTTCTTACAGCGATTAACCTTGAGCCATTAACAATGTCATAACGCTTTAGAAATATACAGTGCCAATAAAGTCTGCCGAGTGACAACAGGCGTCAAATCTTGTTAAGGTACAAGGTAAAAAGGTGTAACAGACTTTTGTTCTCAGCAGTATATACATGTACATGGTCTGTAAGTGTGAGCATTATACCATAATTCAGGTTCTAAATACATACATGTATGTCTACTATCTTTGTGTTTTGGGGGTTAAATTGCTAAGAAGCTGTATAAACATGACTAGTCATGCATGATCTTTGCACATTAATATCTGACATAAATATCTCTACCTTGTTCTTCTCCCTGATTTGGATAGTGATTACTTTCTAGTTCTTGATGATGTTTGAGGTCATCTCATCTTTTGTCTAACATTTGACCTTTGATCACCTTGGAAATGTCAACAGCATTAAGAGTCTCGTACTGCAGGAGGGCCTCAGCCAAGAGGTTATGTTCCTTGCTACGGGTCTTCAAGATCGTCCTCGCTCTTTCGTAGGAGTCCTGCATTCAGATAGAAACAAAAATGAAGCATAATTTTTCAATCATTAGATATTAAAAAGGAGAGGTAATTGATACTTGCTAACCACTCGTAAAATTGCTAAAAGAGATTTCCTAATCAAAGAGAGGAGAATAAGCAAATTGTCAGTACTTGACTAAAGCTATGATATGATAGTGTCTCTGAAACAAATGCCAACTTTAAACATGATTTTTCACAAGGTAGTGCAATTTTCCCTTGTTCACATTCAAATGACTGTCTTATCAATCATTCAACAGATAAGACAATTGATGAGAATACTATACATCAAAATAAAATGTTTTTAAACAAACTTTGTGGATTTTCCAGTTAAAGCTGCATGTTGTAATTCTATTCCAAAAAGAGAACTATAAACATCATATGAAGGATACATGTACATCAAGGTGAAAACATCAAATTTGCTTCATAGTTAAATAATCCTTTATAACGACAGTACAATACAATTTAAAATTATGACTTAGTTCTACCATCCCTAGTGCGATCTACTCAAGAATAATTATTTCTTGTTTTCCAATGCCATATCTTGATATAGTTCATGTTCTGAAAGAATTCATTCATCTATGCTAAAAACAATGTGGTTAAGAAACACATTTCAAAACGAGTTTGGTATCTTCAATCAGTTCATTTTCCTGTTCTTAGTTTATACCAATGAGATAACAATGGAATATTCTCTTCATTATCCTACCTTGAGTAACGTTCTGATTTCATTCTCAATGAGAAGTTGAGTTTCAGGGCTGAGCTTGTTGCTGTCTCCATATACCAGTGGATCTCTATCTTGATACGTCATTACACCAACCTGTGCACACATTGGGATATCTGGTTATCATTTCATGCTATGAATTACAAATTATTTAAAAGAAAGATAAACACACACCATATGTATTGAAAATTATTTCTTGCATGGAATGCTGCAGTAATCCTGAATTTCTCTGTAATTATTTATTTAATTTTATCAATAGACAATGCCTTATGTTATAACAGTCATTGCAGTTTTGATTTACTTGAACCAAACACCTCCCACCCACAACTTTCCCCTCACACAAAAGATATATATCTTCTGTCAACAAAAAATAATGATGTAAACTCCACCATTCTTCTTTCAACACAAATGTTGACCAAGGCTAATCAACAAAGGCATTAAAGCAAGTAGTAAAGATATCCCTGTTTATGTACGTCTCTTTGCCCATCTGCCTCTCTCTCTCTCTTTCTTCTGGCTGTCTTTCCTGCTTTCTTTCTTCATCCATCTCACATGAGCATCCCTTACCTTCTCACTCATGCCAAACTTGGTGACCATGAGGTGGGCGATCCTGGTGGCTTGCTCAAAGTCACTGGATGCTCCCGTCGTGATGTTCTCGGGACCGAAGATGAGCTCCTCGGCCACCCGTCCTCCCATGCACACATCCATCTGGGCTAGTAACTGGGATTTGGTCTCACTCCACTGGTCATTATCAGGCAGAAGCGAGACCTGTTGGGTAGGTACAAAGATCAATCATCTTTGATGTATTGTATAACACACTGAGGTATGAGCATCATAACCTCAAAACTTATTTCACAAAGGAGGTTTAGATTTAACCCATGGTTTAAACCCTCATTTGCATAACCCATGGTTTAAAATAAGCGCAAAATAAGCGCGACACAAGTCAGAGGTCCAATATTAGTCGCGCAAGGCAAGGTACACTTATTTTGCGCTAATTTTTAAACCATGGGTTATGTAAATGAGGGTTTAAACCATGGGTTAGATTTAAACCTCCTTTGTGAATTCAGGTCATTGAGATGGACAATTAAATGTGCAGAAATGTTGGTTAAAATAATTACTGTTTAAAATCATTTCTTTAAGAAACACCAATGCTCCCCAGTTGACATTGGGTCTACAGAACAATTGTTTTACAGGAGACTTGATTTGTTTTAAGAATCGCCACAACGACCACATGATATGATCAATGGTGCTGTAAAACCACAGAACTTAAACCTCACTTGTGGTTAATATCTGCTTTTATAGAGCAAGAAACTGTTGCAACCTGCACAAATTCAGGGTTATAATTTAATCGTTTTACACCCAGAAGCTTCCTAATCTATATCTCACAAAAATCATTCATGTCCAGAGCCTGGTTTCACAGTAACTGTGCTATAAGGCTATCAGTGGATTAAATGTCGAAATATCAACAGTTGCATTTTTACTAGCATTGATTAATAAGAACAACCTTCATGTTGAATGAATAAGTATAAGAGTAAGTATTACGTATGCAACTTTCTGAAATGATACTACTTAATTCCAACGCGACACTAGCAATATTCTTTGAGGATAAATTGAGCATGTCATAAATGTGGAATTGATGATCTCTTACATGGCCAAGTGTTGGTCCCCTGGGCATGATGGTTGCTTTGTTGATAGGTTTGGCATCTTTGGTGAAGACAGCTACCAGGGCGTGGCCTCCTTCGTGGTAGGCAGTGATCTTACGGTTCCGAGGGTCAACCTGTGCACTCTTCCTTTCTGGACCTATTATTTACGAACATTCAGAAAGAACATTATTAGCATACTGTATTGCAATTTCTTGCATGGCAATGTGCTGTAGCAAAACAAACGAAACACTTTATTAATGCATCTTTTATTTCTTTTTTTTAATTAAAAAAATCAAAATCAAATATCTGCTTGAGAGTCCTCGAGCACATTTTCATTGCCTCAGAAAAGTAAAATCTATCCTCAGATCCAAGTAGTACTTGGATTTCAGACAGGGATAACTAAAGCATCATTGGCAAGGTCCAGTAGTTAGTAGTAGATAGTGTGATTTTATTTTAAAGAGACATTAAAAGGGAAATAATAAGTCTTGACATAGGGCTAAAAACAAAAGATGTTGTATTGCCCTTTAGGTGCCAAAACATGGGTCGGTCGGTCAGAATTTTTTTTTTTTTTAAACTTTTGTTTAGGCCTAATTATAGGATAGTTTTCCATATTATTCTGTATGGACGTCAGTTCAGAAAGCAGAGGCAAGAGCAATAACTTATACCAACCTAGTCTCCACATCTTACAGCTTTTGAATGATATCTGCAGACTTACCCATTAGGATTTTGTCTTTGGAGAACTCAAGGTCTTTCATTTCAACCGATTCTTTGCCCTTCCTAGCAGCCTCCAATGCAGCCTGGTTCACTAGATTCTGAAGATCAGCCCCTAAAATGAGTAGAGACAACATTTACAGATGCATCTTTCCACTTTGCAGTAAGGAAATTACATACATTACACAGGCTTTTTATTTTGTGTCATTGACTAACAGATTCAATTAAGTCATTCCCAAGAATGGTACATATTTCAGAGACATTTCTTTTTAACCAGGCAATCAAAATGTTTGTGAGGACATTTTGCCAGCTGCATTACTGGTAATGAAGCCTCGTCAGACCACCCCTGAGAAAGTTCTTTTATGTGTAGATTTTCTTTCATTGTAAAGTGAAGGTTAAATTAATGAAAGGCATCTGTCACCTTTCTTGTTAGTAGAAGTCATGAAGGATGATGACATATTGATTTTTTAAATAGTATTTTTAAAATTCTTAGGCCACCATACCTTGTAGTTCACAAATAAATTACATTTGAACTCTTCATGTTTTTAACCTTTATAATCTTATCATGGGACATCTTAAAACATGGGATAGAATCATTAAACCTTCAAATAAAAGCTTGAAAACATTTACAAATTACAATAGTTTGGATAGTTACCTGTGAAACCAACTGTTCCTCTGGCAAGAGTTTCTACATCCACCTCTGTACCAAGTATAAGAAGAGAACGGATTGTCAAATGAACCATACAATAAAAAGAATAACATGTAAAGCTGTATTATTCCATGAATATATATATTAAATACTTCAGTAAGAAAACAAAATAAATTCATTGTTAACACCATTTCTTTCCATTGAACTATAAAAAATGGAAGCATTTTCACTGGACATGTAATTCATACATGGACTTTATCAAAATCATATGATTCTAGCATCAGGGTATAAATATCAAAGAAACTGTAATTGTATTGCGAAAAGAAGACTTTTTAAACAGCACTTACTCGATGATACTTTGACCTGTCCTAAGTAAAGGTCGAGGATGTCTTGGCGACCTTTGACATCAGGTCTAGGCACAACTACTTTCATGTCAAACCTTCCTGGTCTTGTAAGAGCTCTAAATATATGAACAAATTTAAAGAGTATAAACGTTAGGAAAACAGGAACATGTTAAAAATAGTTGTTTAGAATTAAACAAAAATTATGATCTAAAAAGCAATGATATCGACTTGACTATAATTTTTCACTAAACTTCAAAACAAGATGGAAATGGGCCTCTGAATAACAAACAGTTTGAAAAATTGTAATGAATATTAGAATTAGTTAAATATCTGAATGTTTCCATGTTTTCAAGTGATCCTCAGATCCACAATGATTCAGAAAACATACCAAGAATACAATCAGAAGATAGATTAGTTTTGTTGTGTACTATCTTTTGTTAATTCATAATTACACTGCACTACCTCAAAAAAAATCAGCATAAACCAGATTGTCTGAAAATCAGCTTCATTTCCAATAATAGCACCAAAGTTTTCCATGTCTTATAAGCTTTTTACTTCCTTCGAATAATATTTTACAAAAAGTAAGTCATTGGAAAACCAGAAATATTCAAGGCAGAAATCTTTTGCTCATTGTTAACGATAGTTATTTTTGTTGCAAATATTTAGCATTGTTTCTTGGGGTCATTTCATTATTTTTCACAGCAAGAGGCTCATCAAATCCACTCGTGAAAAATTCATGAAAATTTAGGGGTGTCAAAGAATCAACTCACGGATCCAGAGACTCTGGGAAGTTTGTGGCAGCCAAAACAACTATTCCTTCATTTTGTTTGAAGCCATCCATTTCAGAGAGTAACTGGTTGATTGTCTGTCTAGCGTAAGGGTGCAATGGAGAGTCCACTCGCTTGCCACCAACCGAATCCAACTCATCAATAAATATCAGGCAAGGACTGCTGTTCTTTGCTTCAGCTAGAAAATAGATCATGTGAAGTTTATCAGTGTTTCTAAAATCATGCATATCCATTATATATGTAGGCATATGGCATAAGTTATAATGTTTGTTCCAATAAATATTTTTCCCTCAGGAAAAATAGCAGAAATTATGTAAGTATGAAGAACATAGTGAATATAATCAACAGCTGGTTTTAGCTATGATCTAGTTTTTTCATATGTATTATGATCCTTTGCCATTATCCATCTGTTTTAATTATAAAGAGGGCAGTCCTTTTCTTCACTTGTTTTTATTAGACCTACCTTCTATATTCAGTTTTGCAAGGCACATTTCTCAGTTTATCACAAGTATTTGTTTGCATAACAGACCAACCTATCAAAGTTCAGCTATATTGGCTCTACTGCAAATAATAGAGCGATAATATCAACTCACTGAATATACCTCTGACTTTCATTGCCCTGGAACCTCTACAAACAATTAGTTCATTTTTAAAAGCTAGAGTGCAAATAAAATATATATCCATCAATATGAACTCACTGAAGATATCTCTGACCCTCTTTGCCCCTGAACCGACAAACATGTTATCAAAGTCTGAGCCTGATGCATAGTAGAATGGTACATTGGCCTCTCCTGCCACAGCCCTGGCTAGCAGAGTCTTACCAACTCCAGGTGAGCCTTGGAGTAACACACCTGAATAAACCAAGAGCAAATATAATCATTCAATATTTTATTTATTCATTTTGAAAGGCTAATATGTTTAAAGAATATCTGACAAACACAAAAAAGGGTTCATAGTTAAATGTAGGATGAGGACCAACCATCAAGATGTATGCACATTTCACCTTCTCATAGAGCACAGGGCAGGAACCATGTGCTAAATGTTTTTGAGGTCATTCTAAGATTCTTATTAAACTTAAAAGCGATGTGTAACATGAGATATTGTTGTTCATGTTTGCATTCATTGTTCTCATAAAGGAACCTATTCTAACAAGTTCTCTCACTAGTATTTAACATAAGTCAAGGTACCATAAAACACTCTTCCTCACTGAAGTTAAATCTCATTCTTAATGATAAAGATTATCACAAAAACACAATGTGTTCATGTCATTGTAAAGAAACTAATGAGGCTAGCAATTCTCTTTGAGGTTATGTTATCAGTCTGCTACAAATAGACTAACCTTTAGGTAGCTTGCCACCCAGAACAGTGTACTTTGATGGATCTTTGAGATAGTTGACAATATCCTGCAATTCATTCTTGGCTTCATCAGCCTTGCGGAAAACGAAGAAAAATAAAGATAGGAGTGATCAAAAATCCATCAGTCTTTACCCAATAGCCCTCCTTGCCTCCCTTAAAGGGATCGTTTAACAATGTTAAATCTGAGATACACGGTCATACATGTTACCAGTGTCTGTGATATGATGTAATATTGAAGCTCTAAAAAAATTGTGCTTCAAAATGATCAAGAAGTGCCTCAAAAAAGTAAAAATCTTTGAGTGACCGGTTTTACCGTACTCGTTTTCCCCAATAGACTGTAGTGTTATGAAAACCGTTCAGCGAAAGGTTTTCAAAATTTGTAATTCCAATCATTAATATATCTTGATAATCAGACAGGCGATCGGCTTGTAAAAATCATGGAGTTCCTGACTGACCTAAAGGTATATAATTATCATTGCAGCATGAGCTAAATCAAGGATTATGTCTAAAGGATCTAAGACAAAGTTACCGGATCCCTTTAACTAAAGCAAACAATGCCATAAATAATTGGAAGTACATAACAAAACTAACCAGATACCTTACTTAGTATTGTTGTGTTAATGATTTACACTGTCATGCAGGTTAAAATAAATTGCATGGCAGGAAAAATCGCCTTGTGATAATTTAGGAGTCTGATCTTGGTTCAAGATATCTGTAATCTGAATTATGAATGGCTTGTGACCACAATGATTGAGAATGTGTTTGTTATTCAAATGTTCTTTCTACCAGGTTTCTCATACCTCCAGTCCCTCATAATAATTGAATACATAATCATTTATCATCCTTTGGTGACACAGCAATCCATTTCTTCCCTGTATCATTGAGTCTATTAGCAAAACTAAAAGCCCTACTTTTTTTGTTCTTGCCTATTAACTCAAACAATACATGAAACTTACTCCTCTGACATCGTCAAAAGTAACATCTGCAACAGTCATGCTGTCTACGTTGGAATTACCAATGATTGACACCCGAGCTGTACATAACATAATGAAGAGAGTTATAACTGCTATTATTCACATTTAATGATTACAATAGTGAAATCTCACAAACATCAACTTCCACATGCTTGTCATTGCCTTCAACAAGTTACTTTACAAATAAAAAGCCAAGACATATTTGAAGAAATTGCTAATTGCAGCTTATTGAGAAAAATATATGTATAGATTAGTAAAACCATAACATCAGCAACTTAAAGCTAGATGATCCCTCTCTATTGACCAGTAGTCATCTTATCCCATAATTTCATCTCAAAATGGCATTCAAAATTCAGAATATGAAATATTTGTAACTTGATTAAAATAAAATAATCCAATTTAAAAAATAATAAAAAAATTATACATGAATATGCTAAGCAACCGTAATAATTGTTAAACACAATCACAAGTAACATGCAAGGTGCTTAATATTACTTGACATAAATAAAGGAAAACGGGGTACAGGTCGTCCACCAATATCTTGGACTGATGATATCAAGAAAGTGTCTGGACAAGGAATGAAAGGTGCAATCCAAAAGGCAGGTGAAAGAGTTGCATGGCGTGCTCTCGTGAAGACCACAGCAGCGCTTTACAGCGCCACCTGAACTTGATAATGATGATGACATAAGTCTTATTTCTTACCATAAAGGTTGGCAAAAACATACAAACAACCATAGTATACTGCTGTCTTAACTTACCAAACACTGAAACCATTTTGACATAGAGATAGGCCAGCACACCGAAGATGAGGACGGTTGTCCAGCCCTTGAACCGGTCTGATTTCTTGGTTTCATCCTTGCCCAGCATGTAGCCTTCCAAGTAGCCTGTCTTGAAGGAGTCCTTGTCGGCCACATGGTCATTATGACTGGACAAGGCATCACCAAGCGTCTCTCGGAACTTCTTCTTCTTGGGGTCCTTCGATGAGGTAAATCTCTGCCCAGACAGGAGACATGAGTAAGATATTCACAAGTTTACTAGACATGTTACATAATGCTGATGAAAGGCCTAATGTAGTTTGGCTTAAAATTTACTACGAAAACAAGGTACATTTCTTTCTCTAAAAATCTGATCCAGATGAAATCAATTTGATTTTCATTATGCATATTTCCATAGACCCAAGCCCACGTTATCTTAAACTTAGTTTTCAACAGGGTGAAGAGAAAACAAACATGTATATGCAATAGGGCTGTGACGAGTAGTCGAATGCTAGAGTACCTGCACTGTTGACAACTACTCGAGTACGATTTCTCGTACTCTCATTTTCGGCTGCAAAAAAAAAAAAAAAAAAAAAAAAATTCTCAGTCACCTGGCACTGTCCAGGCCGACACTTACCCTGCCAGGGAGAGCGGCGACCGCTGGCATAGTACTGTCAGTAAAAATGTTTCCCAACTCAAGCACTGTCAAACTCACCACTCAGAAAATGGGACCAAATGTTCGGATTTCTGTTTGGACTTGGAGGAAAATGGATTATTCTGCCATCTTTGGTTTTTAAAACAGCATTGTTTACTGTTACTATTATTATTAAATCGGCGCCTTCAACTGCAACTCGAAGTAAAATCGCATGCGTTTTCAGTGACCCTGGGATACTGCTCCAGTGGTATGGTGGTGGCAAAAAAAAATCAAAAATCTGAAGAAGGAAAAAAAATCCAAAAAAAAAAAATTATAAAAAAACATGGCGTCCAAATACTTGAGTATTCGCTTGTAAGCCTGGGAGTGTACTCGGGTACCTCATTACACTGTTGAGCACAGCCTTAATATGCAATACATAACATCACAACTAACCATCGGTTACAAACTTAAAATCAACTAGGTTCATGTCAGCATATCGTCCTTAAAATTTCATGATGAGCCTACTATACTACTACGTGGTACTTCCTTTCAATATGCAATATGTACTTCATGAATGCAAAATTTGGGAAAAGGACACCATATAGTTTCCCTCATCAAAACCACACTATTCATTCTTTTTGAATCAGACATTTATACTTAAAGGGATCGTTTAACAATGTTAAATCTGAGATGCACGGCCCAACATGTTATCAGTGTCTGTGATATGGTGTTGGTATTGAAGCCCTAAAGAAATTGCACTTAAAAATATTCAAAAAGTGCCTCAAAAAGTAACAACCTTGGAGTGACCGGTTTTACCATAATCGTTTTCCCAATAGACTGTAGTGTTATGAAAATCGGTTGGCAAATGCAAAATTTGATTTCGATTTCAATCATAAATATCTTGATAATCAGACAGACGGTCGGCTTGTAAAAGTCATGGGGTTCCTAAATCCTGACTGACCTAAAGGTCTATAATTATCATTGCAGCATGAGCTAAATCAAGGATTTTTTAAAAGGATCTAAGACAAAGTTACCGGATCTTTTAATAAAGTCAATTAAGACATAATGCAGAAACAAAAAACTACGTTAGATGAGCTTTTAATGATTAAAAAACAGATGAGATATAAAGAATTACTCACCCTAAATAAACCTGTCAATCCAACATCCTCTTCTTTGGACTTTCTTGTTGTTAGCTCTGTAGCCGAGGCTGCTCTCTTTGTTTTGAATCCTCTCCTTTGATCAAACACTACATTGCAGAGAAATCAATATGTATGAATCAGTATGTGAATTATATTTCATTACTTTTCGATAGCTCTTTTTTCTTCCCTCCCTTTATATTGGGGCATATTTCTCTTTTGGAAAGAACATCAAAGGATAGTTTGCAGCCACAAACCCTTGTAAGTTGCTGTGTTGTCAGCACTGCGAGACTAGGGCAACAGCATACTACAGCATACTACAATTATGCTCTGAAATTTAGCTGCAACAGCTTATTTGACATAGCCAGGGATGACAGAGGAAGTCTCTGCTAAAAGTTCTCCATCACTTTTATCTGGTGAAATAAAAGCTATGATTTCCTCTCTTTTTTTACTTTGTATAATTTGGATCGCATATCAAATATCTTGATTTTTCTTAGAGCTTATAAAAGCCTTTGAAGAAAAAATGTGCAAAGTTTTTGTATAGAGGCAATAAACAATAATATAACATTCCTTTCCAGATCTATAAGATTTTTTTCACAGAATAGCGGTAAATGCAGGACTACAGGTGTGGGAATGCCACTTCTGTGTGATGTTTCTCATTTATGTCTTTAATGTTACAGTAAATGCGTTAGTAAATGACTTACACAATGGATGTGATGAAGAACAATTTGCATCAAGGAAATGACGAAACGATTGCAAACCACCAGCTGATGATGTGATTTCGTTAAAGGTTGGAATTGCTAGATGTGCAGCAGGGAAACCTGAATGAAAAATCAAACAAAATACATTCTTTTAAAATGCTGTTAACTAAACATACAAAACTGATGATGACTAGCCTATGCCCACCCTGCCCCCCCCCCCCCTCCCATGAAAATATAAAAAATAAAAATCTTAAAAAGAGTACAATGATCAAGAACCAAGGTTCTACAAAAAGAAACAATATTTCAAGTTCAGACTTTGATATCAAGTCCACATCAAGGAATTTCCTACCTGCAGTTAATTGGCAGAGAAAAAGGACCATGTTAAGATGCCCCTTGCACAACCTTTATAAGCCTAGACATTGCTCATAAAACATGAGAGTAAGACTGCTGATATATCGCCTGAATTTTCCTTTTTGTTAAACAGATATTTTGTAAATTTGAAGAATGTTTCCTGAAACCTACCATGTTTGTTCTCGAAGAATGATTCTGCAGAAGTGTAGGACTGAGGTTGAAGTCTGTCCCTAAGATTACTTCCTTCGGTGATAGAGGGTAATATAGAGTTGAGCCAGTCCTTGGGCAAGGAACTTACTCCAACATCTGCAAGATTTAATGTTACCTGCAATGGGATGGAAAATAACAATGTAGAATGATAATCAAGATCAGTTTTAATAACATGGTCGAGTGGTTAAGTCGCCTAACTGTCGATCACAAGGTCCACGGTTCCAGACCCGCCGCGGCACTACTGTCCTTAGGCAAGACATTGATCTGCATTGCCACACTCAACCCAGGTGATGTAAATGGGTACCTGGCAGGAATTAATTCTTTGAAATGCGAGAGCGCTGTAATGGCAGAACAGCTAAAGCCGGGGTAATATTCTCCAAGTTTGGAAGCGCTCAGTGAGTGTAATAAGCGCTATATAAAAAACAGAGTATTATTAATACTATTTTGTGTGACACGTATGAGAACTTGTTGGGATATATTTACCCCTCCCCCAAAAAATACAAATACAATCCTTCCCCACTCTTCAATCCTGCTCAAATCAAATACCAAGAAAATGCAATAACTAAACTTGGAAGCACGAAGAACAAGGTCGTTGATGCTGCATATAACAAACCCCTTCAAACTATCATTTTGTCATTTGACTTAAACAGCACCTGTACTGGACTGGATTTTGGAAGATTTAAACCAATCAATTCTGAACTTACATTTGATAGGCTCTCTGCAAATTTGGTATCCTCTGCCTTTTGCCTTTTCGTGGAAGGAGCTGCTGGTGGAGTTCTCTGTTGTTTTCTTCTTAAAGCAGTTGTTTCTGCTCCCCCCTTCAGAGAATGGAAAGCTGCCACCAGGTGAGGGAGGGGCAAGACCAGCTGCTGCGCTCAAGAAAAAAGAAGAAAGCAATAAACGGTCAAAATGTCTAGATAATCCATCAGCGAATAAAAACATTTTCTGTTTCAGTCACATTTCATTATCATTCTATCATCTTATTTACATCATTTGATTTTTAAAGGGAGTGAAGAGCATAATTAGTATAAAAAGCTAACAACTTTGTGATTGTAGTATCAAAATAAACTCTGAAGAAGAAAAAAGAGAAAGAAATTGTATATAATATGTTGTATGTTCGGCAGCAATACTAAGCAATTTCAAAAGAATAAAAAACTTTTAAATCTATGATGCCCAGAATTTACAGCCCAGAAAAACATTTTAAGTCAAAATTGTAATTACTACCTCTTAACATTGCAAATAAAATGTGACTCAACCTGCTGATTGAATCATTTTCAAAATCGGGCTCTGGAGCTCCGACGCCTTTGGCATCGGAGCTCCCTGGAGTTATATTTTTACATGATCATTACATAAATAGTAATATATATCAAGCCTGAAGTTCCTAAATGTAATTTTAAGTCTTAAGAAGTTAAGTTAAGTCTTAAGAATTTCAACTATTAAAGTGGACATTATGTCGTGTCTGAATCATGAAATGATGAACGAGTACAAAAACATTGATCAATTGATATTCATTACAATAATACAAGACATGCAGGCGCTAGTTCAGAAGTCTATCCAGACTTCGACCTAGAACTCCAGCGTGGAGATACACTACTAGAATATACATAAAATCGACTAAATCTTCATCAATTGTTCAAATAATGGTCGATGATGTCATTATGTTTCTTACCTGTTTCGTGTCAATTTTCTAATCTTTTTTGGAGTAATTTTCCAAAAACGAAGACTTATTATAAACACTTTCTCACAGGATTTACAATGAACTGTTTCACAATACAAGCATACGCGTACCGATCGTGGGGTGCAGGCGTGCGCATGTGTTAAGTTAACAACTGTAATCTATAAGCAATTCATCAATACGGTCTTTAACTTAACACACACACCCCACCGTCGATACGGTATGCAGTTGTAATGTATTGTGCAGCAGTTTGCCGTGAATCCTGTGAGAAAGTGTATATTATAAGTCTTTTTTAGGAAAATACTCCAAAACAGATAACAAAATTGACGCAAAACTTTCCTTTACTAACTTAAGCTAAGGTCACAACTCAGAGCGGCGACCAACTGATAGCCTGCTCGGTCGGTGCTGAAATTTAGGCATTTCTCAATGATTTTTCGAGAAGTCGAGCAGGCTCCAGGGGCTCATTCCTAGAAACCAACGACAAGACAGTCATAACTTTATCCGCCAACTACGGAGATGTCTCTGATCTTCCTAAACCGTTTCACGAAGAGCTAACTAGCTAGTATCTCGTGAGATCGATACTATCGGCGAGAAGAGGATCCGAGACTTAGCCTTAGTCGCAATACCATCGGATTATTACAAAATTAATATGAGGGAAAATGCAATTATTTAAATGAATTATTCATAAAAAAGATTGAAAATGATACCAAGAAATAGGAGATGCAATACTTCCAAATTTGTGTAGATTATACAATAGAAGTACTTGTGAAATATAATTGTGAGTATTTCATTACATGACCGGTGAATCAGTTTTGTTCTTGAGATGGGTACCCCCCGGATATTTTCGTTTGATAGTTTATAAAAATACACCAATATATTATTCTTAGAAAATGTAATGAAGTTTGTGACTTTGTGTCCAATGTTTTAGGTGTCAGTTGAATAATTAAATGACAAAACTTCAACATTCCAATCGTTAAAAAACATGTTTTAAACTATTCATTTTACACATTTGAAGATAGTATTTATCTCGAAGGCAATATGGGTCTGAAAAGTAAAGAATACACTTCAAACTATGACTTGCCTGCCGTGACAAAATACCTATCCCTTTGACGATTTTACAAAGTGGAAATAAAGGCGTATAATCAGTTTATTTAAGTGGGAAAATCCTTAAATACAAACATGGCATATATTTTCATAAGATTATCAAATACAAAAAACGATAACTCACTGTTTAAGTGAAAAATCATAGTTGGAGGATTTATTGTCCTTTTTTGCCAGCCATAGTCTACCAAATAAATGACATGTGATGGCGGTGCCCATCGACTAAATAGTTATGACAGAGATACGACGGTGTCAGAGGCATCATAACTACTTAGTCCCTAACACCTCTTGCTGTTACTAGATCCCGTCGTTCCTCAACAAGCAATAGCCATCATTTGAAACAGACGTACTGCAGGACAGACTTCTTCAAGTTCTCCTATTTCCCTCGTACGTGCAAGGACTGGAATAAGTTACCTGATAGCGTTATCAACACAGGATCAATTGATTCCTTTAGGTCCCATGCGCTACAATTCCTAAAAGATTGCTCTATTCCATGACCATGTGCTTCGTTTCCGTGCCTTTATATGGACTAACAAGTCTGTCGACACGTACAGAAGAAGAAGAAGAAGAAGGATATTGTCGTTGATCTTGGCAAGGAGGGCTTGGTGAAACATGTAGCGGACAAGTTGCTCACTAACGCTGATTTAGTCAAGAAGTTAGACTTATGACGGTTTCTAGGAACAGGCCCCAGAGCCTCAGTGATGCCTGGGCGGTGCCCTGTCGATTTCTCGTCGGTCGCCGGTCGATGTTAGATCAAAACTGGGCGAAATCGAGGAACTTCTCCGGGCGGCGTCCCGGCAGTGACCGACTGATGACCCACCGATTCCCAAGCGGTCTCCCACCGGGCACCTGCTGATTTTAAAGAAATTGCCCGGCAGCCGGCCGTGATCAGTGGGACACCAATAGATCTAGTGCAATACATGTTCGGTGCCAGGGCGGTCACAGCCCGGGCACTGACCTAATCGAGCGTTCGCCGTCGAGCAACTTAGCTCAAAAATCGTAGCTACTAGGTCAAAGGCTGCCGACCGATTCTGAAAACACCGTTCAGTGACTGACTGATCTCCCATCGGCGACCAGGCGGTGGCCGCTCGGCAGCCTTTGTGACCTACTACCTAGCACTAGCAGCTTCGATTTTTTATCTAAGTTGTTCGACAGCGAACGCTCGATTAGGCCAGTTCGCAGGCGATGACCACTCGGGCACCAAGCATACTTTGAGCGGTGAGTAAAAGTGAACAGGCGCCGCTTCAGCGGCAACCGAGCGATGCCTGAAAAACAAGCGGTGCCCGGACGAAATTGGCTAAAATTGAATTGAGTAAAAATACTCGCCGCCCGGCCGCGGAGCAGGCTACTTTTGGGGGTTGTGACCATAGCTTAAAAGTTAAGGCTTTACTCTGTACTTTACTAGGCCTAGGCTAAGTAATACTAGTAGCTGGCAGGAAGGGGGGGGGGGGGTCAAAACTCAAAAGTTACCTGAGCGTTCACACCGCTTACTGAAAACATCGTGAAATAAACCTGTGGCTATCTATGCCTATGGCTGCCGGCTGTGCACGTGAGTGTGAAACTGGAAGAAACAAATCAAGCTAGATTTATCACAGAACTCGGAGATCCTCACACAGCAAAGCTAATGATGAGAAAATCGAACAGAAATACCCATCCGGTTTCTGTCTAACGTCCTCTGGTTTTACGGTCTCTATTTTGTTTAGGCATGATAGCCATAGGCGCAGCGCAGGCCTACGCAATCTCTCGGACCGGTTACGTTGAGCAGTGTTTCGTAAGCTCGTGCGCTTTATCACATGAATCGTCCCAAATCTACTCTAACCAAAGAAAGCTCGCTTGTTCAATGGCGCTTTCGGTCCCATGGTTTGAAAGGGCAATCCAAACTCCAGTACACTGGTTCGAGATCCCAGCTTCTCCTTTACATCCCATGTTATTTGTATCATTTTTTTCTTCACCCCATGACATTGACTTGTCCATCTCTTTTTTTTTCCTCAAGGGGACAACCCCCCCCCCCTCCCCTCCCCCACCTCCTCAACAAAGGAGAAAATAACATGTGATACTCTTTTCTTTTAAGGTATTGCAAAGTTTTGCAAAAGTTGAAAATTGGATGGATAGTAATTCTTTAATTATTTCAATGTATTTGGATGCCTCTGTGGATGTTTTATAAGCACTGCAAAAAAAGTTGCCCCTAAAACAGTCTGCTTTAGAGAAATTGAATCATAATCAAAAATATACCGGTGCCGTCCCGGTAAATTTCAAATGAGGCCATTCTATGGTAGCTGCGACCATGCATGAAAACCTCAGAATATGCAGTTCCGATATAATATAATTTCCTAACGGGAATAGCAAATTGTAGGGAGCTATACAACATAAGGAGTTTATTATTTCCAATTTCATCACTTTAGACTCGATTTCAACCGCGACAACGATCATTGAATAGACATTGAATATTGTAAAATCGCATATGATCCAGTGATTTTAACCAACTTCATGACCCCTGGCAAAAACTTTGGATTACCCTCAAAGGTGGTGTATTGTTGGTAATTTACTAATTTGCATCAAACTTTGATTATTTTGATTTTATTTTGATTTATTAACCAATAGCATGCAATACACAAGCCCGGATAAGCTTTTTTTTAAGCGGGGCTTCTTAGGGTTGCAACTTTGAGCCACATTGCGAGGGAGTGACCAAGCCCGAGGAATATTTAGCGGCGAATAAACGGGGGGGGGGGGAGTGGGTGTAATGAGCACTTATTTTTAAATCTACACCCCCTCCCCCCTCTCCCCTCTCTTAAACAAAACAACAATAATAATACAAATTAAGGGTGGTTCACGCGAACCCGTGAACCCCTAGTTTGTACGGCCCTGAAACAGTACGCGTTTACATAATATACAAGAAGCCTTCTGAAACTTGGTTGGTAAAGGGGGCCTATACCCCTTAAAAGGCTAAACAAAGTATTTTGGTACAAATCAGTAATTAATTCACAATTACAATCGACTTTAAAAACTAAGAATTCTTAACAATATCTTATATCTTACAATGTACAAACTTGTGTTACAGTAATCTGAAATCTATTTCTAGACCGTTATTGACTCAGAGGTAATCTATTCCAAAATTTGCTGCCCACAGAAGACAATGAAAATTGAACTTGTGACGTTCTAAATTTTGGAAGACGTGATTGTCAACCTTCTTTTTGTCTTGTGGAATAGTTTTGCTCTATAATGTCACAGTACGCTATCAACATATTGAGGCAAATTCTCATTGACTAGATCAAACATGAAAGAAGAAATTGATAAATCATGTAAATTATACACATTTAGGTTTCATAATCGTTTAAATAATGGAGCTGTAGGAGTTCTCCATTTACTTAATGTTATAGTACGAACCATTTTCTGCGAATACGATAATTATACTTCTTATAGGCTATTCTTATGCTTCGATCCCCACACCTCTATTCCGTAAGAAATGTGTGGTTGTATCAGTAGCGTACACAGGATTTTTTCATGGGGGGGGGGGGGGGGGGTGGTTAACATTTTAAAATCGGGCCTAAAATTTCGCAACGAGCCGCCAAAGCGGGGGAGGGGGGGGGGGGGGGGTAAGAAGACGCTTGTTTTTTTTTTTTTGGGGGGGGGGGTTCCAAAAAATCGCAACGACTCAGTCAGCCGCTGATTAGGCGGGGGAGGGGGGGGGGGTTAGAGGACACTTTTTTTTTTTTTTTTTTTTTTTGGTCTCGAAATTTGAATAATTGACATTTTGCTCCGATGGGGGGGGGGGTTGCTCCAAAAAAAACACATAAACAACACTGAAGGGGGGTTTAACCCCCCCCCCCCCCTGCGTACTCCTCGGACTGGGTTGTACACAAGCTATATAATAATATCAGAGTAGGAACAAAATGTCGCAATCTAAATAGCACCCCAACTTTCTTTCTAATACACTGATTTAGAAAACGAATATGACTATTCCAAGACAAAATGTCTATCGATGTGAACCCCAAGCAAAAGTGGCAACATCAACCTCTTTAATTTCCTCGCCAGCGATTTTCAGTTTACCATTCATACCTATTTTCTTCCTCCTAGTACTTATTAACATGAAATTAGTTTTCATTGAATTAATTGTAAGTTTGTTTATTCACTTCAAGTTTATTTACATCAATTTCACCCTGGTCAGCAGGAAATAGCTTGAAAACATCGGCGAACAGTCGAAAATTGAAATAATAAGTAATTGTTAGCAAATGATTTATATAGATTAAAAAACATAGCTGGCCCGCTAATACTGATCCTTGTGGAACACCATATTTTATCTTGCTCCTTTCAAATATCGTTTGACCACACTGAACAAACTGAAATCGGTTACTGAGACTAGTCCTTAAACCATTCAAGAGGTAAACCCTCGAATGCCATACCTAGATAGTTTACCCAGTATTCGTGTCAATGCTTTTTTTTTTAAATCGAGGAACATACCAATAGTCACTTTCCCCTGATCTATAGATTTTAAATTTGAATTTATCAAGTTGATGATCGATGATGATTTACTATATTTCTTTCGGAACCCATATTGAAGATAATAGAATTTATGATTTGTTTCTAGAAATTGAATTAATATGATATTTATCAACTCAAACTTCACATTTATAGAAAAGGTAGGATGATGCTTTTTGTAGGTCTATGTTAATTTATTGTAAGTTCAAGACCTTTAAAAAAAATTAAGTATATATTATGGTGACAAAAAAAAGAATTGGATTTCCACTATTACATTAGCTCGTACACCAGTTAGGAATAAACAACAACAAAAATTGACATTTTGAGCACAGTCTAGTTTTAAGAAGACTTCCAGAAGACTTCATGAACCGGTGGCGGATCTAGGGAGGGGGGGGGGGGGGACACAGGGGACACGTGCCCCCCCCCCCCCCCCGGCCAACAAAAAATAAAAAAATTAGTGCTCACCCCACTCTTACATGCAGGCCCCACTGAACGTTTCTAGTCGGGGGTCAAGGGGTGGAGCCCTCAGAAACTCAGGGGGTATAGGCATTTAATTACTGTCAAATGAGCATATTATGATACCTTATTAATTTGTGACACTGGCAGGACACAAATTGGTATAGGGTCCAGGGGCGGAACACCCAGAAGGTCAGGGGTCTTATATACGTTAAATTACGGTCAGATGAGCATATTTTGATACCCTATAGTTGTGACACTGGCAGGTCACAATTTAAGTGGGGTCCAGGGGGGGGGGGGGAGGCCCCGGAAGCTCAGGGGTTTTGGGCAATACATTACGGTCAGATGAGCATATTTTGAGACCTTATTTGTGACAATGGCAGGACACAAATTGATGTTGGGTCCAGGGGAAAGAGCCCCCAAAAGCTCAGGGGTTTTATACATTAAATTATCGTCATAATTATGAGCATATTTTTATACCTTATTCGTGACACTGGCAAGACACAAATTGGTATAGGGTCCAGGGGCGGAGCACCCAGAAGGTTATATACATTAAATTACGGTCGGATGAGCATATTTTGATACCTTAGTTGTGACACTGGCAGGACACAAATTGGTGTTGGGTCCAGGGGAGGAGCCCCCAGAAGCTCAGGGGTTTTATACATTAAATTACGGTCAGATGAGCATATTGTTATACCTTATTTGTGATACTGCCAGGTCATGAATTGGCGTGGGGTCCGGGGGCGGAGCCCCCGTAAGCTCAGGGGTTTTGGGCAATCAATAACGGACAGATGACCATATTTTGATACCTTATTTGTGACACTGGCAGGTCACCAATTGGCGTGGGGTGTAGGGGGCGGAGCCCCCAGAAGTCAGGGGTCTTGTAGATTAAATTACGGTCAGATGAGCATATTTTGATACCTTATTTGTGACACGGGCAGGTCACGAATTGGCGTGGGGTCCAGGGGACGGAGCCCCCAGAAGCTAAGGGGTTTTATACATTAAATTATCGTCAGATGAGCATCCAGGTGCCTGACTTTGGGCCCTGCAGGTGAAATCCAGGGGGCAGAGCGGAAGCGTCAGTGGTTGAAGGCATTTAATCACGGTCAGATGAGCAAATCATTTTTCTTTCTTTTTTGGCCCCGGAAATTGGAAAATAACGTCCCCTGGATCCCCAACTGCCTTATGTTGTGACCCCACCCCCTCCCCCTTCCCTCACTTGCAAAATAATCTGTTCCTGCATGTCGGAGAGCTAGAACCACGGATAGGAATCGTGCAGTAGCAGACTACATGTCTCGGGAGCCGAGAGCTGTAATATTATTGTTATCCTTGCGCTTTGGCAGACAAAACATGATTGTTTTCATTTTACTTCGGGCTGGGTAATGTTCAAACTTGAGGCATCTCTTACAATTCTTAGAGTATATTTCTCCACTTAAGATATACATCAACATTCAATTGTTTTAGTTGCATCTAAATAAGTTCTGATATTCAAGTTATATCATGTTTATAAAATAAACACCATGAACTATTTGCTGACGCGTATTCGTACTTTACTTATTAGATGTGAAAAGGTAGCCAGTCTGGCGACGAAAACTATTTTACTACCAGACGATTAAATATATATGTATCATTACAGTCATTTATTTGTTTTTTGAATATCAAATTAACATTTTAAATATATCATATTAATTTTAATAATTTATTTTTTGATTACTTAAAAGTAAAAATTATTATAATTGTCATTTAATAATACCTTCTTTTATAAGATAGAGATTGGCAACTGCGTGACCGAGAACATCGACCAGATTTTCTCCCATTATTTTGTAATGGCGTCTTCTTCCACGGTGCATCTCACGCGAGACGTCTCGTAGAAAGAGAACTCCCGAACGTTTTCACGCGAAGTCTGAGGTAATGTTTATTGAATTTGCCCGCATTTAATTAGTTGCTCCAACAACTATTTTGATTTTTCAGATTTCCTAGTAGAGTGAATTCATACCATGAATTAGACTTTGTTTTTAGTTTATTAATATTATTTATGACAATGAAAATGTCTGATGTTTGAACTTTGATGCGCGAGCTCGCCTGGCGTTGTTCGCTGGTCCATGTCTGGGCTCTCGCCCCGCTGTACCTTTCGCCAGCGCTAGTCCGCCTCGGGAGCTCAACTGGCGCCGCTCAGCTCCGGCGCGGCGCGCGGTGCAGAACTCTGTGACACTGACTAACTTTTGCATTTTCTAGTTGATGGATCAGTACAATGGAACCTTCAGGTTGCTCGTAGTAAAGTAATGAGAGCAACCAAATCTTCCAAATGTCTGTAGACTCTAGTCTAGTTGTGTCCAGTTGACAGGTTGAACACCCAGCTTTTCATTGATGATGTTATTGTTTGTTGTTGTAATTTGTATGAAGGGGTTACCAAACCTCGCAGATATTTTAGGGCGCTTGTTCAGCAAGGTTAGGGTTAGACCGAATTTTTCTGTCTCTTTCGTTCGTTAGCCTCTGATTTGGGTAAGGTCGGCTCTCTCTTTAGAGACAGAACAGCCCTAGGTCTATATCTATACGCTGTAGTGGACGTGCGTTTGTGTAAAGAAACGTTACACAAAACTTGGCCAAATTTAATCCCTAATTTTGATATTTTACCGGATGCGTATCCGATGCATTTAAAGTCTTAAATTATCTAAATGCTTAACTACTTTGGTTCCACTTACCAACTTGACTACTTGAATCCATTTAATGGTCCCTTTTCAGGAAATTGGCAATGCCAAATTTGGATTCCCCAGGGGAAAATAACCCTGGTTGACCGTCTACTTTTATGGGTTGTCCGTCTTCCCAAGGATTTATTGCTCATAATGTGAACAAAGTCAATGTAAAATGTATCAAGAAAATCATCCTGGAATCAGTTTTTTGCATCGCCAATGTGCCGATCAAAAATATGGAACATCTGCTTTTTTGCAGACGATCCTTGTTTTTGAGGACGCATTGGTCCGCGTTTACAAGGTCAAGGACGATCTTAGTTTATGAAGACGATTCTTATTCTCAGAACAGCACCCCTACTGTTTATTACCTGTTTCATGTCAATTTTCTTCTTATTTTTTTAGTATTTTTCAGAAAAACAATGATATTAGTATAAACTTTTTCACAGGTTTCACTGCAAACCACTGCACAAACAGCACAATACAAGTGCATACTGATGGTGGGTTGCGGGCGGGCGCGCACGCGCGCCTGTGTAAAGTTATCTACCGTAATGTCTCAGATCCTCATTACGGTTGATAAAAGCTTCATTTGAAGAAGTCTTCGATGGGAAAAAGGGTGATTCTTTGTCCTAACCCGATTCATTCATGTATCGTCGATTCAACATGAAGAGTTAGTACACATGCGCAGTAGCGGCGCAGCAAATATGAATATTCATGTTATAGAGTGCCGTTTGCACAAAATTGCTGAATATATATGCTCAAGGTTGAGAAGGGCTCTTTTTTCAGTACAACCACCATAATCCATAATATGCCTGTTGCTATGACTGAAGATCCTCGAGTAGAAGGGTGATTTCTTGTTCTTTCTCATCCAACCGTTCTGTAGATTGAAAACATCCCCTTTAGACTTTTATTATTTTTGTTATCGTTTCATTCAGCGTTTTATTCTATTGCATTGCCAACCATGGCAATGATGGCAGCAGCATGCAAAACTGCGTGAGGTAGCATTTTTTTTACTGTACATTTGCATAGATCTAGTCTACATGTATTTACTGTATTTGCCGGCATAAAGGCCGCAGTGTTTTTGGAAGAGAAAATATCAAAAATTCGGGGTGCGGGGCGAAAGAGTAAAAAAAAAAAAACTTGCAAGTCAAAACTATGAAACACAGCACGAATTTGTACATATAGGACAACAATGAAAGGTGATGGACATTTCTAGAATAATTATCTAGAATAACACATGTCTTACCGACCATTTTGTGTTATATTTATTAAATGAAGGGCAAAGTTTTGCCAATCTCGTAAATAAAATTCAAAACTCCAACCAAACTCAACTGGTAGATCTAGATTTAAGTTTTTGGCGTAGCTAAAGCCTCTCGATCGCGTGAGCAAACCTATGGCGCAATGCATAAGAGAGAGGCTCAATGTATACATGAGAAAAAACTGCAAGCTGTAGTATCAGTGTGGGATGGCCGAGCGGTCTAAGGCGGTGATTTTGGTCACATCAACATTTGTGGGGAAGGGTTCAAATACATCTACCGACAATTTTTTTTTTTTTTTTTTTTTTTTTAAATGTCAAAATCGGGGGTGCGGCCTTTGCACAAGATTTGCACATTGTTAATTTCTATTTGGGGAAAGTCAATTTGTGATTATGAAGTGTGCATTGTATAAATTCATTGATTTTGTTGTATTTTAATACCAGACACATACATTAGTATTGAATTTTTCCATTTCCTTTTTTTTCTTTTTTAGGCAAAAGGGAAACAAAGATATTCTGTGGAGAGAAAGACATGTAGCCCTACCATTCCTACAATGCAGCAGGGGTCTGTTTTATTGTTTTAAAAGTTTGAAGGCGCTCTTAGAACAGACTTCAACATGAAGACATTCATATTCCTCTGCAGTATTGCATTTGGTAAGTTTTCATTTAGTAGAGTAAATATGTAATAGAGTAGTGATTTATTTATGTGGCTAGTATCTAACTGGCCTTACCACTGGCAAATACGGTACATGTAGATTTTGGCCAACTTTGTTTCACTTGGTCACAACATGATGTATATTCTTTTGTTTTGTGCTTGCCCTATTGTTCCCAGTTTGAACCATGTTGGCAAAACTCTCCTAATCAATGGTTCTGGGTAATAATAATTGCAGGGCCATCATCAACAATGCCAGTTCTCTGGGTTAACAAAATCATCATTTTTTTTTACTAATGTAAAGTTTAGATTGTATTGACCTTCATTTTGAATACATATTGTCATTCCTGATTCCTGACTATTCTTGTCTCCAAACTGTATACTTTTGTTCATTACAATGAGTAACTAACGGTATGAATGTTTATAATATACTCATATCGAGAACAAACTATTGTTTCAATAAGCTGCAGATATATGAATTCCCTTCCCTTTTCCTTGTCTTTTGTAGTTAATTGTGAGTATGGGTTCATGTATCCCTGTAATTCCCCTTTCCCTGTTTTAGCGTGTATTTGTATTTTATAAACTTTACTTTAGTTAATTATGTCATTTTTGTCTATTGTCTCGCCTGTGTGGCAAAAAGCGAGACATAGGCGCCGCTTTTCCGGTGATGGCGGCGACGGCGGCATCAACATCAAAAACTTAACCTAAGGTTAAGTTTTTGAATTTTTGATATAATTTTTAAAGTATAAGTTCTTAGTCATTGAAACTTTGACTATAGGGTAATCAAGTATCCCCAATCATGTGAGTAGAATTTCAGATCACAAAGTCAAGGTCAAAACTCAAAGGTCATTTCAGGTCAACAGACTTGGACTATGTTGTAGCATCATCATCGAAAATTTAACCTAAGGTTAAGTTTTTGAATTTTTGATATAATTTTGAAAGTATACGTTCTTAGTCAATGGAACTTGGACTATAGGGTTATCAAGTCTCCCCAATCATGTGAGTAGAATTTCAGGTCACTAAGTTAAGGTCAAAGGTCATTTAAGGTCAACAAACTTAGACTCTGTTGTGGATCAACATCAAGATTTTCAAAATGCTTCTTCTTCGTTATTTTTCAACCGATTTTGATTCTGATTGTTTCATATGATAGGGCTAGGAGGGGTATTTAAAATTTCTACACAGAATCGTGAAATTCATTATCTATGCTTATTTATGCAAATTTATTCGAAATCACAAAAAAGGCTTCTTCTCCTTCGTTTCTCGACCGATTTTGATTTGGTTTGCTTTATATCGTAGAGCTAAGTTTGGTACACTTAGCTTCTACACAGAATTTTGAAATTGTTCTCCATTAATGAATTATGGTAATTTATGCAAATTTATTCCAAAAATAACAAAAATTGCTTCTTTTCCCTCATTTCTTGACCGATTTTGATTTGGTTTGCCTTATCTGGTAGAGCTAAATTTGGAACACTAAACTTCTACACAGAATTGTGAGATTTTGCTCCATTGATTATTTATGGTACTTTATGCAAAATTGCAAATGAAATGAAACTATGTCCCTTCCAGGGCATCAAATTTTTATTTTTTGACCAGTTCAAAAGTGTACCACATAAAATTTATGATATTTGTTGTTGCGAGATACGGATGAGTGCTACGTCATTGACGTTCTGGTTTATCATATTGAATTGCGTTATGCAGGCGAGACCGCCGAGAGCGTTTCCCTTGTTTGTTTAAGGAGCCTATCCATAACAAGCTCTGTTTTTCCGTAGGCTCCGCCACTTTATCTCTCAAGTTAAAGTTAATGGACAATATTCTGAATAGTGTGTACCGGCATTGTATGTACATGTATAAAATAATCATTTTCAATATGTTGTTACACTCTTTGTAAAATAAGATATTGTGGAAACCAATAAACTATCTATCTATCTATCTATAGTTATGGCCTATTTTCTTATGGTACTCTTAATTTGTCTTATTGTGGTATTCAACCCCTTCTAGGTCTGTATATCCATTCTGGGGATGCCATTTACTGTGCCTACTACCCAGCCGATAATCAGAATGACCCCATGAACCCCAGCCAAGATGAGGTGATGGGGGTCATCCAACCGGACAATGTCACCATCTACTGTCCAGAGGAGAATGACAGATGCTATTCTTTCTGGTACACTCATCCCAACTATGAGAATGAAATCCTCATCCAGAAGCAAGGTAGGAATTTTTGTATTAATCACAAATAACGCACGGCCCAGCGTTCGTTAGTGGTGAATGCAGTGCACGCGAGGTTTCTTTAGATTGGTGCCGCCTCTGTGCACGAGCCGCTTGCGACGAGTTCACAGTGCGCACCATCTGAAAAAGACGAGCATACACTGCATTTACATTACCGTTTATCTCCGTGTATAGGGCATACCTGCCAACTATTACGATTTTGGCGTAATTATTACGATTTTCTGTTTTAAATTACGCCTTACGATTTTGTGTCACAAAATTACGATTTTCTGATTTTCTGACTATTAAAATGTTAAAACGACTGAACTTCAAGGCTAACAGCCAAATCGTAATGCCAACGTTTTAATTTTATGAACGCACGTTTTTCAGCGAGTGTATAGTAATACGAGCGGGAGGATTGCGTGCGTATGGTGATATGTACTGCGTGTATGGTCATGTGTGTGTGTGTGTGCAGACATGACGACTACATGCGATGCAATACATGCGATGTGTTCTTGTTTTGCGCGCACATTTACCATACAAACTTACGTGGATTACTACATATGGGACTGATACGAGTGATTTTTGTTTCGGCCGCGATTGCGATCAGCTAGCTTTGATTTTCCCATGATTTTGATCGCTACCAGTAAACTTCAAACGTCAAAATGAGCAAATCAACTAAGAGTAAGAAGTCTACCCAGAAATATCGGGCTGATTACGCTCTAAAGTTTCCTGTGTTGACAAGCTCTAAACTGGGAGATCACTATGCATTTTGCAAACGCTGCTCCAGTGATGTCCGCATCTCTCACGGTGGACTTAATGACATTGAGAAACACATCAGGACAAAAAAACATCAAGCTAATACCGAGGCAACCGGTGGAAGATCATTACAAAGCTACTTCGCGGTAGATTCGGACATGAGTGTTATTAATGCAGAGGTTTTGATGACCGAATTCATTGTTGAACATAGTTTGCCACTCAGCGTTGCTGACCACTGTAATAAACTGTTTCGGAAAATGTTTCCCGATTCGGCCATCGCAAAAAAGTATGGATGTGGGCGCACGAAGACAGGCTGCATCACCAATACCCTTGGTAAAGATTCCAGGAAAAAGATTGTTGATGTCATCAAGGTATCGCCATTCAGTTTGGCAACGGATGGGTCTACGGACTATGATGATGTCAAGTTGTACCCAATATGTGTGCGGTATTTTGACCCGGATGAGGGTCGTACCTTGTCTGTTCTTCTCTCATTGAAGGAGTGTAACAAGCCATCTACAGGGGAGAACATATTCAAGCTTCTGGAGGCAGAACTACAGGAACTGGAAATTCCGTTTGAAAATCTGGTGTCCTTTTCCGCGGACAATGCGTCAGTGATGTTGGGCAAGTTCAAAGGTGTAGCGGCGTTTCTCCTCAAGCGTGCCCCATCCATGTACATTTCTGGTGAGTCTTTGTGAATACTGTATTATAATGTTATGTAGACCTCTAGAGAAAAACTGAACATATAAAAACATAAATGAAATATAAATGAAAGAAATGCTTGTGCTGCTCATTAACATAGTCGTGTGTGTGTGTATGTGAGTGTGAGTGGTGTTCATTTCCACAGGCACAGCTTAGTTTGATGGCATTCCAGAGGAATTCATGACCATTGTTTGATTGTTAGGTGCCATAAATATCTGTTTGGGTGAAATTTGGGGATGTTTTTGTGACGGGAGTAGTGCGATATTTTTGTACAGCATTTTTGTTATTATAGGAAATATACAGACAAGTATCTTACTAAGATATCGTCTAAAGTCTAAAAGCTTTTTAGTTAGATGCCATTGAACTAAGACCCCCTTCCAAAAAAATCCAAAAACAATACAATAATATAAGATAGATGAATACAAAAATTAAATGAAGATAAAGAAATAAATAAAACAAAATTGTTATAATTTTGAATATGCAGTCAAAATATAGTCGTCTTTGATTGTCTTAGTAATGGAATGATTGGTTAAATATCTTGCAGCTACATGTGTGTAGTATACTATAAAAAGGCCTAAGTGATGGACAAAGAGTTTTGATATTTCTTTTCCAATTTAAAAATATTTAAATATGTTCTCATTTGTTTTTTATTTGCATTCTTTTTATCTGCACAGGCTGCCCCTGTCATCTGATGCATCTTGCGGCTGAGAAAGCAGCAAAACGGCTACCTGTGAGAGTAGAGGACTTGCTCATTGATATTTATTATCATCTGGAAAAGAGCAGCAAGAGAAAGCAAGAATTCAAATCTTTCCAAGCCAAAGAAAATCTTCCCCAGCACAAGATCATCAAGCACGTGTCCACACGTTGGCTTTCACTCGGACAGTGCATCACTAGACTCTTGGAGCAGTGGGATGCAATTCTTCCTTTCTTCGAAGGAGAGAGAAAAAAGACAAGTGGGACAAAACGACAGAGAGTCACACAAGAAGGGGAACAAGAAAGAAAGAAACAAAAAAGCAAATCGGCAGAATCACCGCTAAGTTCGGCTACCTCTACCAAGCAAGGCACATCGGTGACCCCTGCTGTAAAACCTGGCAGTTCACATGGTCCTACTAGATCAACACTCCAAGGAACAACTTATGCAACATCTAGTACATGTTACAAGATTCCCAAGAAGAAACTGCCTGTTGCTTCTAGTTCAACTTGCAACCAAAGCACTACCAAGTCTGGAACATCAAATGTGGGTGGTAAATCAACAGCATCCAGTTCTCCAAGCACCAGCACAGTGAAGGGAACTTCTAGCTCAACTAGCAACCAGTGTGCTGCAAAGTCTGGTACTTCGAGTGGTCCTGCGAAGTCAACAACATTGAAGTCTGCTAAAAGCGCCAGTAAAGATACTTCAGGTCTTTCTACAGCATCAAACCCGTTCTTTCGAAAGTCATCTTCCACAAGACCAACTGCAAAATCAGCTGCAAAATCAGCTGCAAAATCAGCTGCAAAAGAGACTGCAAAATCTGCTTCAAAACAAACATCCGCTGCAAGAGATCAACCTACAATAACAACAGTTGAATCAAAACCTGAGCGTGTAATGAAGATGATGACAGACCCTAACACAAAACTATATTGTCTCTTTTTGAACATTACCATTTCTTTGTTTGATGACAGTAACCTGATCCTTCAGAAAGATGAACCATGTATTCATGTAATGCATAATGTTATGTGCAACCAACTGAAGTCACTGCTTGTTCGATTTGTGAAGCCAGAAGTTGTTACTGCTCATTTGAAAGTGTATGAAGTAGAGTTCACAGATGAAAGCAATCAGAAAAGTGATGAAGAGTTGTTTGTTGGCCAAGCAGTACGCACATACATCAGAGAGTGTGGAGAGCAGTGTAACTTGAAGCAATTCTACGACAGTGTACGCAGCTACTTCTCTTCAGCATGCAGCTATATGAGAAAGTCCTATCCATTTGAAGAAGAAGTTCTTCAAAATGCTGATGTATTGGATGTCTCCAAACGCACACAAGTGAAGCTCAACAAGTGGCTGTTCTTTGCAAACAAGTACCCCCAGTTTGTACCAGAGGATGAAAGGGACAAGCTGGAAGATGAGCTTTGTTGTTTCCAGGTGGATGATCTCACTGATGAAATCCTGAAACCAGACTTGAGAATCGACTCGCAATGGCATGAAATTTCGAAGCTGAAGTCTCCAGCCACTGGAAATGTGTTGTATCCAACACTGGTGAAAGTAGCAAAGGTGCTTCTTGCTATGTATCACAGCAATGCCGATTGTGAAAGAATTTTCAGCATCGTGAACAAGAACAAAACGGAATTCAGATCGAGCCTTTCAACTAAAACATTGGATAGCATCTTGACAAGGAGAATGGACCTGCTATCAAGGAACACGCCATGCCATTCTACTGTGCACTCCAAGGAACTTCTCAAGAAAGCGAAACAGGCAACGTCCTCATGCCTTAAAGCTTGAGGCATTGTAAAACTTCTGTAAAACTTCTGCAAGATAGATGTCTTCTAATTATATCTGGCAGCGTGTGTTTATGAGGCATGAGTATGTCAAGTTTATTCTCTGAACAAGGAACTTCTCAAGAAAGCGAAACAGGCAACGTCCTCATGCCTTAAAGCTTGAGGCATTGTAAAACTTCTGTAAAACTTCTACAAGATAGATGTCTTCTATATCTGGCAGCATGTGTTTATGAGGCATGAGTATGTCAAGTTTATTCTCTGAACAACCAAGAAACAAGTGCCTGATGGAGTCACTGATGGCTGGAAAGGACTGCTTTGTGCGATCAGTAGAGGTGAGGTGGAAAGTTTGAGAGCATTAAGTGTAATTATGTATGACTTTATTTTTCTCCTCCAGGGTCTATTTCATCAGAAGAATTTTTAGCTTTTAGTCCATGTTTTGCTGTTTTTGACAGTTTATTCTTTTGTGGGGGAGGTTCCATAAGTGTTGAAAAATGGGTTTAGAGTGAAGGGAAAGGGCATTTCTACATGTTCAAAATACCAAAAGCTCCCTAGCGTGGGAGGGGGGACACCCCCCTCCCACACCCACCCCCCACTCGTCCGCTTCGCTCCCTCGGTCTAGCGTTCGGTCGCTGCGCTCCCTCACAGTCCACGTGAAATAAATTACTATTTTTTTTTTGTAAAGGTTGGCAGGTATGATAGGGTGCATCTGTGTATAAGGCGCACCCCTATTTTGAAGACCAAAAAATAAATCTCAAAAAATTATTTAAAAAAATTCTGTCATCTTTAGTTTTAAAAACAACATTATTACTAGGTCTAACTTAATTCACAAGCACTTCAACTGTGCCTCCCTCGTAATAAAATGAAAGTTTTTTTCGGACACTGAATTAAGACGCGATCTGATCTGGTTAACAAAAAGCCAAAAAAGTCACCAAAAAAAGTCAACAAAAAATTGGCTTTTGGGGGGGGGGGGGCTTTTTTGGCTTTTTGTTTCCCAGAGCAGATCGGCTCTTACAAATATATTTCAGTGTTCGAAAATACTTTCATTTTATTACGTTTTCGAGTGGTGATTCGTT